ATTGAAGCACTGTTTATAACATTTTCTGAGATTGTCTCATGTTGTCCAGGCTTCCTCAAACTCAACATGTAGCTGAGAATAACAAAGCTTGAACTCTTGATCTTCCTGCCTTTACTGCCCAAGTGCTGGGATTACAGCTTTTTATCCTGTGCTTAGACACACACGTATACAAATGCATCCTAGGTGGACTGAGTATGTGGAGATGGCCTATGTCAGCAAAAGCAGCCATGGACCAGTGATACCAAAAGACAGAAAGAACTTTGGAAGGGCAAAAATCAGTTTGCTATCCCATTTTGGATACAGAGGAGCCTCACAATCCAGCAGAAATGAATCAAAAACATTAAATTTGCCACACAAAAGCTCTCATCAGTGTGAGACACAGAAAGGACATTCAATTGCAGTATATTATGAGCCAGGCAACAGGTTATCAGTAAAAAGCACACGAGTCATCAGAAAAAAAAAAACAGAGGAAAGAAGCCATCAGATTAGACCTTGCCAATGCCAGAACACCTCCATTGTTTATAAGCACCTGGGACAAGAACTTGACCGAGTGTAGCTACAATCCATTAATAGTCTCACATCTTTTTCTATTCATCAAATAAGAGCTTCTAGAATCAAAAAAAGTAGAAGGCAGAGTCATGCTCTGTAGTCCAGAGTGGGACTTGACTCTTGAATCTCTTCTCTCATCTTGCATCAGCCTCTCAAGTGCTAGAACTTCAGATATGTACCTCCCACCATTCCTGGTTTGTAGCTATTTCTTTTCAGAGTTCTTTTTATTTTAGTGAGAGTTGCCTAAATATTACGTATTGACTCCATGTTTTTGCTGGGTACCCTAAAAGCCAGAAGAGGATGTTGGATTCCTTGAAATTGGAATTTCAGACAGATGTGAATGGCCATCTGGGTCCTGGGAACTGAACTCAGGACCTCTGCAAAAGCAGTAAGTGCTCTTAACCACTGAGCTATCTCTCCAGTCTCTGTAGCTGTTTTTTAGATCTTAAATTATAAAATATAATGTTGGGGGCAGTGAGGACAGACTTTTTCTGAGACCCTTAGCTCATTTAAACCAAATAAAGATAAATTCTCACTGTGCCTGTTTTTGTATATTTTTTTTTACATTTTCATTATTGCCCGCTTTTTAAGATATTATTCATAAAAGAATGAGCTTAAGGATTTAGTTGAATAAAAGTTTTAAAACACACCCAAAATAATATTTACCTGCACAACTAAAAATGAGAGCCCACCTCAGTCTTTGATGTCTTCATGAAGAACACTGTTTATTAAAGCATGGTCTTTAATGATGCTAAGGAACAGTCACTTCTTTGTTATTCTAAGATAATAGAATTTTTTAATCCAAAATGAGATGTTAAAAAAAAACCACCTGTGTTCTTGTTGAGTGCTCAGCCCTAAATGGGGCCTCTATATCAACACCCATTCCCAGCAAGACTTAGGGAATACTGCAGAAGAGGGGTGGGAAATGATGTAAGAGTCAGAAGATGGGGAGTGTGCTATGAAGTACTGCCTGACAGACATGACACGGCCATTACAAGCACAAACTTAGAGCAGTACAGTTACCTGCACAAAATCAAGCCAGTCAATTTCTGTATGGACAGGATAGGGGCTCATGAAACTCCACATCAGTTAAGGAGTTACAAGCAATAGATGGCTGCTGAGAGGCTGTGGTGGTATCATTTTTCTTCCTGGTTGTGGTTGCTGGTAGGTTCTCCACACTCATGTTAAAAGCACTAATTGAACTCAGTGGGTTATTTAAAAGGAGGCAGGTGTTATCCATGGAGAGTGGAAGGGGAGAGTTTTAGGTGGAGATGACCAAGATACACAATAAGGATGTGTGAAATTGTCCAAGAATCAAAAACAACAAAAAAAGCATGGTCTCTGCTCAAGACTCTACAGTAAATAATTTTCAGTTGGAAGACACTAATGAAGTGTCTCTATCTTACAAAATAGCATAGGTCATCCCAGTGGTCATAATCCTGTCCCAATCAGACTGGGATGGCCACAAAGACGTCTTCATACAGTCTCTGCTAAGTCCTCTGTCATTCAAGGAATCAGTAGTATGGTTATCAAATTCTCAGCCTCTTGCTGTATGTGTCACTGGCTACAACATTATACCTTACCTTTCCTACTCTTTCTGTTTACATTCTGTCCTGCCAACTCCACCTGGAAACTCTTTAATCATTCTTGGAACCCCAGTTCAAGGACCATAATCTTTTTTGGTGGAGAAGATTGTGAGACAGGATCTCATGTAGGCCAAGCAGACCATGAACTCGATATGTAGAAGAGGCTGACCCTGAACTCCTGATATGTCTGTCTCCACAATCCAAAGTGCTGGATTACAGGTTTAACAGAATTACATTCTTTATGAAGGCTTTCCAACAAGTAATCATAGTCTATTTCCTATCTCATTCTCATGTATTTCCATTATGGCACTCATTAGACTCTAAAATAAGCTTTCTTTTTCAAGTGAATCTTCTGCACTAAACTATAAACGGCTAGAAAAAGAAGATCTCTTTAAAAAGAAGATCTTTTCTATCTCTGCATCCCCAGAATCCCTAACAGCATGTGGCACCCCATTTTTTTAATGCTGAAGAAGTGGGGTTATTAGGTTGACATTAGAAAATTAAGACAATACTAAAAAAAAAAATGTACCTGAAAGTCTATTTGGCCACTGCGAGTGAGTCTGCCTTAAGAGAGGCAAAGATAAGGATCTGCCTGTGTGTGTCCCTGTCCATTCTGAGCTAGCTGCCTCTTCCAGGTGTTCTCAAGATGAAGCAAGTCTCTACAAAGTGCAGGACTCATAACTAATGATGCTATCAACACCGTTGGCTGCTGTTGGAAATTACTTAACTGGTTTTCAGATACTATCCCTGAGACTGGAGAAAATATGCCCCATTTTCTCTAAGTTTAAAACAGTCTTAATAGGTTAAGGGTTGTTTTGAATCCAGAAGTATTAATTCACTTTTTTAAACCAAAGACCTCTTCAGCTACTTTAAAGCACTGCTTTCAAGTATCCCAGTGTCTAACATAATTAACAAGTTTAGCCTATGGGTACTTTGTGTTCAAAACATAAGCCTAAGCAATATGTTTTGTCCAATGTTTCCATATTCACATTATGAGTCCATAATAAATATTTACTTGTGGATTGTGGCTACTACTAGCCTCAAACAAAATTCTATGACTGACTTAACTGGGTTTCTGAAAGTTATCTGCTAAGAAAGCATTTTTTTTTTTTTTGCTTTTTCAAGACAGGGGTTCTCTGTGTAGCCCTGGCTGTTCTGGAGCATCCTCTGTAGACTAGGCTAGCCTCGAAGCCTGCCTCTGCCTCCTGAGTGCTGGGAATAAAGGCGGGCACACCAACAAATATGTTAAGTCATTGCTTGAGGGCTTAAGGTGACTATGTAGCAAAACCCAAAGGTGAAGGGCAAGTCACGTTTTAAGTGAAGATTACAATCCTCCGGTTTTCCCCCATACTTTCTCGTCGCCTGTAAACACTATAATAAAACACAGGTCAGTTTCTCCTTTGGTTTACAGGTATACCATATACAAATACCATGCCTAGACTGACCCTCAGACAGGATATATACAGCAGGTAGCCTTGAGCACCCGGCTACTTTTCAAAAAGTGGATACGAACGAAACACCCCCTCCCAACAAGCATGTGTCAAAACAGCTTGGGGTACCGACACTGTGTGCATCACTCACTAGGGTCGCGCGATTACTGTTTCCTCTCAGGAGGGGTACCCTAGGGTATTTTCCTATAGAAAGGCCATGTGCAAGGCCTAGGTGGGAGTTAACGACCGCTGACCAGCCAGAGGACCTCCTGGGACAGAGGAAAGGACAACCGGACCAGGCCGCAGCCCAGTACTGCACCTTCCCAGCTTCGAGCCGGTCGCAGCGAGCGGGCTCGTGGGGCATGCCGCGGATCTCACTGCGCGCCCCTAGACCAAAAGAGGAGAGGGGCCGTGCCGGCTCCGCCCTCCCCCGCGGGGCTTGGGCTCACGACTGCACAGGAAGGCCACGTCCCCAGGGACAGGCACACCACTCTATGGTTTGGGGGGGGGGGGGCGAGCCCACGTGACTAGCGCCTAGCCAATCACGGGACGGCAGCCCGCCATCGAGACGACCGCGGAGGCGGCTAGAGATGCCCGCCGGCATGTCAAAGGCGCCTGTCCATCCCGGCTCGGAGCTCGGAGCTCGGTGCTGCCGCCATCTTCTTGGAGGAAAGGGCAGAGGCAAAGAGCCCCCTCCCCTTCACCGCTCCGCACTCACGCTGCCACCTGCCCGCCCCCGGTCGTCTCTCACTCTCAGTGGACACCTCATTCCTACCTAAGAAAGATCCTTCCCCCAACTCTAGTTTCCCACAAAGCGAAGACTCTCATTACCTGCTCCTCTCTTATTAGCGCGAGGAAACCAAGCTCATAAGGTAGGAGCTGTGGCGAAACAGGAACAAGACGCCATCTTGGTAAAGGAGAAGAGGCTACGCTTGACCTCCCCCCACCCCCAGCCTCTATATGGCCAACCGCCGTGGGAGGGGCACGGCGCCTGCGCAGAGGCGGACGCCAGCCGTGTCCTACGCTTGCGCTCTGCCGGCAACCTCGGGGGAGGGAAACTACTCGGGGCCCAGGAAGGAGTTGGCATGGGGGCGGGACGGCGCGATGACGCCATCTGTTCGCGCGCGCGCCGCGGGGCGGGGCGGAGCGGAGCGGGGCGGATCCGGGCCGTAGTCGGACGGGCGTTCTCCGGCGTGTTAGCGGGTAAGCGTGTGGCCGTGTGTGTACCCACTGTCGCGCGGGCTGGAGTCGAGCTGGCCCCGCTCGGGGGAGTGGCGGAGGTCGTCTCTCGCCCCCGGCCCACTCCGGCTGTGGTGACGGGTGCGGCAGGGGCGCGCGTGGGGGGAGGGGCGGCCGCGCCCTGCGGCCGCGGCTCCCGCGATGGACGGGCGTCCCCCCATCTGGATAATCCTCCTGGCCCGGGGTCCAGGGCGTTGGGGCGGGTGTGGCCGGTCCCGGTGAGATTACCGCGGACGTTCCAACTGCTGTGTGGTGGGGCCTCGGGCGTTTACGCTGGCGGATGGAGGAGTTGGGTGAGGTAGCTTTAGATCCCTATCGACGTAGCACTTGTGGTTGTGTGGCCATCTTCTCACTTAACGGTGCCAGTTCGTCCTGGGGGTGTGAAGCCCTATAGTCAGTCACCCCCGAGATGGTAAGGAGGTTCCCTAGTTGGAGGCAGTGGATAGCCCTTTGGAGGAGTGGTCTTGTCTGCTGTGCCCTTCCCCAGGGTTGTGCGATGCTAGACAAAGGGCTGTAACAGTGTAAGTGACAGGGAACAGGGGACCTGGAGCGGAGGCCGCTGACGGTGAGAAGCGCTGAAGTCTAACTCTGAAGCCGGTCCTAGGCCCAGACCACGCCTGCCCCCCCCCCCCCTTTTTTTAATCTTCCGGCCACATTTCTTAGTGCCTCCCGGCTCTGTCCTGCCCTACCTTACACGAATGCCAGACTCTTCCCATGGAACTTCTAGTTCAAACCACTGTGGTCTCTATCGCTGGCCTTAGCCCAATTTACGCCTCGTGTTACCTCCCACGCTCTCCGTCTTCTGCTTATCTGTTGGTTAGTTCCTGCTCGCTGCTCGTTATTCAGGACTCTGACTGGATGAGATTTCCTTCAGACGGATTCGGTGCTCCATTGGCGTTCAGTATTGGGGTACCTACTGCATAGTGAGGGATTCAGGTCTTGGGTTCTCAAGTATTTCCTTAGTAGCTAAAATTAGTTTAGTACCTCATATACATTTCTAAATTAGTCTTGCTAACATGGGAAAAGTAGGGTTTTGTAGCAGTCCTGAAAACTTTCCTCAGCATGCCTCTAATTTGATCCTTTTCAGTGGCTTTTTTTGGTAGTTGCCATTCAGGTATTCTTTGCAGCACCCAGCATTCAAACTGTCAGTGTGTGCTGCTATATCTAATTTTGGTGATGATTTTCTTAGTTGTAAAGGTTGTCCTGATCCTTTTTTTCAATTTTCCACCTTTAATTTTTTTTTTCTCTTCTCTTTACAGCTCTGTGAAGAACAAGAGCTTTTTAATGAGATCAGATTCTCTTGGTTAAGCTGGGTAGCCTAGGGAAAGGGGGTGGGGCCTCCCTCTATTATCATTCATGAGTGTAATTCAGCTCTCTTTGATTGTGGCATGCTGCCCCAAGCTCCATTAAGAGTGTTGTGTTGCATAATGTACTTGTGCAGTCCTCACATCTAAGAACTCTAAATGGCAAGACAGTCTAGGTACTTGGAATAAAAGCTATTCAGGATCCTACATTGAGAAGTCTGAATGTGTGTGTGGGCATTAGGGGCAATGCATACAAAATGTAACAGTTTATGTACATGAATGATGCTTCTGATTTATGAATATTCCATTACTATAAATGCCACTTGCAAAATAATGTCAAATGTCAAAATACAGTTTTGTTAATCTATTCATCTTTTGGATTTTATTTGGGGTGATAGTGTTAACTCTGGAATAAAGAAACTGTGGGTCAAGGATAAAGAATGTACAAATAACATGACATCTGAAATATGCACAGTGTGAAAGAAAATTTTAGTTTGACCATTTATCTTAGATGTGGAGATCTAGTTGATCTGCACTTTGTACTTAGTAGTATGTAAATGGATCAAGGTTTTCTCACTAAAAAACCAAGTGCTTCAGAAATTCAGTATTCCCCTCTCAGCTTTCATTTTGACATTACTGGGGATATATCGTTCAGTTGGTAAAGCTTGCCTGAATGCAGGAGTCCTGGGTCCCTATTGCACCCCCACACGAAACCAAAACCCTTTTTTGTTTTGGTTACTAAATTGTTAGAAAACCATTGTGGATCCAAGTTATGTTTGAACGTAGGGTAAAGAATTCATAGCCTGGCATGCTCCATATTGAAGAATCACTGTATTCTCCAGTTCTGTGCTTGTGTATTTCTTGGTTTTTTTTTTTTTTTTTTTTTTTTTTTTTTTTGGTTTTTCGAGACAGGGTTTCTCTGTGTAGCTTTGCGCCTTTCCTGGGACTCACTTGGTAGCCCAGGCTGGCCTCGAACTCACAGAGATCCGCCTGGCTCTGCCTCCCGAGTGCTGGGATTAAAGGCGTGCGCCACCACTGCCCGGCCTGCTTGTGTATTTCTTGAAAGAAAGGAAACTGATAGTGAGAATTACCCTTTTTTGGTCTGAACTGACCCATATCTTCAAAATGGCTGGGAACTTGTGTAGTTGGAAGTTTTTCTGGGTCCTTCCCTGTCCTGCAAGCGCCCAGACCCAAATAAACACACAGAGGCTTATATTAATTATGAACTGTGTGGCCATGGCCTATGGCTCAGTTTTCTTCCTAGCTAGCTCTTATAACTAAACTTATCCCATTTCTGTTAATCTAGTGTTGCCACATGTTCCGTGGCTTTACCTGTGTGCCATAACATGCTGTTCTCTGGATGACGGGATGGCGTCTCTCTGCCTCTCCTCTCTTCCTCTTATCTCTCTTGGATTTTCCCGCCTGGCTCCATCTTGTCCTGCCATAGGCCAATGCAGCTTTATTTATCAACTAAGAAGAGCAACACATATTCACAGCATACAGAAAGACATCTCACAGCAAACTTGGGTCAGTAAAGCTAAGGAGATAACAGCTGTGTAGAAAGTACTCATGATGTTGCCTGTATCTTCTTGTGGTTTGAAATAAAAATACATGTAACAGTAGTGAAGGCAAGTATCCACTCTGATACTACTCTCAGGTATTTTATCCTTCCATGTAAACAAAAGTTATTTTACCCAGTGCTTAAAGAAGTCATGCCATAGGGATTCCAGTTTAGAATTGAATTAATTATACCAGTTTGGGGAAACAAAATGATATGTTTAGGGCTTGTTTGTTTGTTTCTAAATCTGTTTGTAGCCGAGTATAGTATTGCACTCCTATAATCTTAGCGCTTGGGAGGCTGAAGCAGGATTGCCAGTTCAAAGTGAGCTTTGATTACAAAGATTGTCTCAAAAACCAAAAAAGACAAACAAGCTAAAATGTATTCCTGTGCAGTTAAGTGTTTTGTTGTGTTTTCAGACATGGTTTCTTTGTTGCCTAGACTATTTGAGAACTCACCATATAATCCAAGTTGGCCTCAAATTTGTAATGCTCCTGCCTCAGCCTCTAGTGCTATACTACCACACGTAGTTTGATTTTCATTATTTTTTTAAGTATTTTCCCCTATTTCTGTTCCTAATTTTTTTTTCCCCTTTCTTCCCATGTGGGTGCTGGGAATTGAACCCAGGTCCCCTGGAAGAGCAGCCAGTGCTCTTAACCACTGAGCCATCTCTCCAGCCCCTAAAAAGAAACTTTTGACTCATCACATACCTTTTTTTAGCACCTGACCAAATAAATTACCTTATTCTAAAGTTCTTTTTTTGTCAGGAACATTTGTGTTTGTGATCTCTGACAGTTGCTCAGATACCTGAGATTGAAGGCCTGCACCTCATAGGCTGCTTTACTATTGGGCTTTTTTTTTTTTTTTTTTTTTTTTTTTTTAGATTAGGTCTCTCTATTATGCAGTTCTGACTGTCCTGGAATTCATTGTGTAGACTAGGTTAGCCTCAAACTCAAGAGTTTCATCTGCCTCTGACTCCCAAGTGCTGGGATCAAAGGTGTGAGCTACCAAGCCAGCTACGGTTGTTTTTTGTTTGTTTTGTGTTTTTTGTGACTCAAGTATTGTGTTTTTTTGCATATTCAGCCCTGTCAACAAAGTAGTTTTGTTTCATGAATTTTTTGTTTTGTTTTGTTTTTTTCAGACAGGGTTTCTCTGTGAAACAGTCCTGGCTGTCCTGGAACTACTCACTCTGTAGACCAGGTTGGCCTCGAACTCACAGAGATCCGCCTGCTTCTGCGTCTGGAATGCTAGGATTAAAGGCATGCATCACCACTGCCCGGTGCATGATTTTTCTTAATGCAATAATCCTAATAGGGTAGTATTAAATAATCATGGTAAAATTGCAATATCTAGATCCTACTTTCATTTTGATTCTAATGAAAAAATGAGGCAGTTGGGTATTTGGTTATATTAAACAGCTATAATTAATTTTCTCTAGAAATAACAGCTTGTCATTTTTAGGAGCCCTTGTGCATACTGAACTATAAATGAAGTGTGTATCTAGGATTTGCTTCACTGTAATCCAGAGAAGTTGGAAATAAACTAATTTTGGCCTTGAGTTGCTAATTATTGAATTGAATAAAGGGTAGTACCTGAGGGTATTATTGTGATGTTTTTGTGTGTGCTTTAATTTTTTTATTTGTGTTTTAAAGAGTAATGGACATCTTTTAATCTATTTTTGGCTATGATTCAAATAGGTTTAGTATCTCTTTTTAAAAACATTGTATTTTATGTGTATGAATGTTTTGTCTGTATGTACATCTGTGTTTCACATGCTTGGTATCCCGGAAAGCTAGAAGAGGATATCGAGTCCCCTGGAACTTCAGTTACAGACAGATGTGAGCTGCTGTTTTATTGTTGGGAATCAAACCGGGGTCCTCAGATGAGTAGCAAGTGCTCTTAACCTGGGAACCATCCCTTCAGCCCATAGTTTAAGTAATCCCACTGATTAACGAATACCATTTGCTATTGTTTTTGGAAACAACCCTGAATTATATTTAATCAGTTTCCTTAGTATTTTCATGCAGATTGATTGAATTTAATTATATACCTCATCAGTATCTATATATGGTTTTCTCTTAATTTGTTATGTCTTATATTGATAACTTTGATACATTACTAGAATCTAATTGCTGGCAAATATTTAAAAATTTTATATTTATATTCATGAATGAGGTTGATTTGATGTTTGCTGGTTTCTCCTTACTGCAGGACCTTTCCTCCTTCCTTCCTTTCCCTTCTGGATTTGTTAATGAAATTATGCTGACTTCACAAATAAATTGGTTCACTTTCCTTTTTTCTGTAGTGGCTTGAAATAGTTAAATGATTTTATTATTATCTCTTCAGAGGTACATGCTATTTTGCTCTAATTCCATCTGATGTTGGCCCTTTACATTTTTAGTTTAGGGTGTGTGTGTGTGTTGCTTTCTTT